AGGGAGGGGGGGTGGGAGGAATGAATGGAGGGAAGAAAAAAGGGGGCGGAGGCGGGCCGGCGGGCGAGCGGCCCGGCGGGCCGGCCAGCCGGCCTCCCTCTCTAAATCAGCTCTGATTTGATTTGAACATTTGAGAGTCAAGGAGAACAGGATTCATTTCAGGTTTATGCTTCAAGACTGAAGGCAAGCTAATTCAGTTCAAGTTGTTTTGAGACTCAAGATTCAATAATATCCATCCATCCATCCATCCTTGGTGCTTTGCAGCACCCTGCAAAAACCACTATAAAACATGAGAGTAAAAGCAGCCACCTCATATTGAAAAACCTTCAATTATTTGGCATTTATGGATAGAACATCCCATTTTAACCGTCAGGTTGGTCAGGCTGGCATTTGAGATTACAGCTGGGAGTAGGGGACAACCAAGAATAGGGGTCATCCTAGTATTCCTTTCTTTTAATGAAATTAATTTGTCTGTTGGACATGTGGGTCTAATAGGATAGGCACATGTAATTTATAATTGTAGCTGCTAGCATATAATTTTTCCGTATGTCAGAGGTGCAGATGCAAAGGTGTCAACTCTGCACAAGAGGCAGTAGGGTGTAGATAAAGCATTAAGGAGTTACTCTGTATTCCCTCTTTGTCTGCTACTCTGTGTGGTCTTTGTATAAGAGATGGCTGATCTGAGGTCATTTCCTTTACAAGCATGCCAAGTCCCTTTAACTTCCATCAGGGCAATGGGCTCCAAGGACTAAAGTCAATATGCAAAGCAATTCTATGAAGGAGGGAGAAAAGGCGAGTGCAATGAGGAACTAAAGGAGAGATTAGAAAAGAAAGCAGAAAACTATCAGAAATAGAATAAGGAAAGTTTCAGCCTGTGGAAAAGCTGGAAGAGCCAGAATTCTCCATTTGCTCATTCAAGACAAAAATATTCCTGCAGTCTCAAGGACTCGCCTTTGTCCTGGACAAAGAGAGACCCACAGAAGCAAAAGAGCTTAGGACACTGCAAACAACAGAACAGCTGGAATGATCTGCCTGATGGTGAATGACTTCATTACTGTGCATTTAAAGGATTTAGATTAAGTCAAAGATATTTGAAAAACCCTCTCAGATTTATACAAGGAACAATAAACAGTCTCTAAAGTGTATCTTTTCAGTAAGTTATGCAACAGGCATGGGAAGGGGATCTAAATCTATATTTAAATTAAATAAAAACTATTGCCAATCAGCTTGTGACTAAACCTGCCTATACATCCTAGTTGCCATCACTATAAATACTGCATTATCATTTTTTGC